AGGCGTTGCTGTATCTTCCTTATTGCTTTTTTCTTCTTCTTTCGATTCACATGGACCTGAAGCATTCATCCCTTGTTCTGTACAGGTTTGAGTGCTGGAGGCTTGCTGTATGTTTTTGATTGAGGGACTTACAGAGCTTGTAGACACATTCTACTATATTTGAAATATGTCAATGTGATATTTGTGAAATTTCACCCCCAAATCATCTACTCACCCTTATGTCATTCCAAACTCAATTGACCAACTTCTGTGGAACGCAAAAGGTATTTTTCACACAATGAAACTGAATGGTGACCAGGGACTGTCAAACTCCAAAAATTACCAAAGATAAAATAGAAGTTATGCCAATATATTCCAAGGTTTCTAAAACCATGATTTTGGTTTGTTTAAGCTACAAATTGTTGAATCGAACTGTTATTAACAACAAAAAAAAAAAAAAACTTTGCCGGAACTCTGAAATGTCATTCGCATTCAAATACACTGGTTCAAATCTTTAGGGTTGGTAAGATTTTTTTTAACCTTTGTGCATCAATTTAAAGTGACATTTTTGTCCTCGAGGGACCTCAGAGTAAGTGTCAAAAAACTGTCATAAAAATTTGAAGCTTGGGACTTCAGTTTGGTCTCATTTTAAAGAGGACCCATAGAATTTTATTGTTGAAGTAAAAAACAAAAAACAGTTATAGAGGTTTAAGTTTATGAAAATGATTTATGAACATTATTTTATATAAAGTATATATTTTACGAAACATGTCGCACTCTAAAACTGCTGGAAAATCAAAGCCATAAATCTAAACAAGTTGTGTTCCAAATTTGAGGTTGAGTATCTAAAAAAACTACGGAGCCCCCCTAGTCCCACTTTGTCAAAAAAATTATAACTATCTCGTGGCCTCAAGATAAGTAACTCGTGGCCTCAAGATAGTATCTCGTGGCCTCAAGATAAGTAACTCGTGGCCTCAAGATACTATCTCGTTGTATAGTACCTAGTGTAAAATAGATTTATTAAAGGAAATCAAGGTGAAATAGTAAAATTCTAATAAAAATATACACTTGTGCCAATATGCATGCAGTAACACAGGCAAAATGTGGATTTTTTTTAAAGAAGTCTCTTTTGCTCACCAAGGCTGCATTTATATGATTAAAAAATACTATAAAAACAGTAATATTGTGAAATATAATTACAATTAAAAAAAACTGTTTTCCATTGTAATACATTACAATGTAATTTATTCCTGTGATGGCAAAGCTGCATTTTTTTGCAGCTATTACTCTAGTTTTCTGTGTCACATGATCCTTCAGAAATCATTCTAATATGCTGATTTGATGCTCAAACAACTGCTCAACAATATTGATAATAATCTTATTATTATCAACATTGAAAATGGTTGTGCGACTAAATATTTTCTGTGGATTTTTTTTTTTGTATTCTATTCTTTTATAAATAGAAAGTTAACAGTATTTGTTTGAAATAGGAATCTTTTGTACGTTATGAATGTCTTTACTGTCACTGTTGATCAATTTAATGCATCCTTGCTGAATAAAAGTAAAAACTTACTGATCCCAAACTTTTGAATGAATGGTAGTGAATATTCATATATGTCATGCCATAATTAACATCAGTGATGCCAAGGGAATTTATTTATGTGTCTTATAACCATTTCTGACACATTCCATTTTAATAGGTGCATATTCAAATCACAATAATTTAATGATAATTTTCAAAGAATAATGAAATAAATAATAAAATCATTAATTTTCTCTTTTTTAATGGACTTGTTTTGTCATTTTTGGAGCTTGACAGCTGGTCACCATTCACTTTTTTTTGGTGAACTATCCCTTTGCATCACCTTTGTGTCATTGTATTGGCAATCTCGGGTTGCGAACAGCCCTGTCAGTCAATATTTCCTTCATTAAACACGTGCTGTGATCTCTTCAAGCCTCATTGGTGACCAAATCTGATTCTATTCCAGCACTCTACCTCCTGCGCTCTGCCAGCCGTAATGAACAGTGAGCGGCAGCATGTTGGACAAGCAAAGTTCCGCGCGATAATTGAAGAGCCGCTCCGTGATATCGACACAGAATCCTTGTGAGCTTTCCGGTTCAAGGACTTCTCCTGGCTAGCAGCAGGAGAGATCATCGAGGGAGGTGATTAGATTTTGAGAGCACTGAACCTGATGCTTTCCTTATGGGGACTATAAAAACGTTTGCCTTGCGCCTGTAGCCTTGTGCGTGCTGTGGTAGGGGTCTAGGGGACATTTCAGAAGGTGAGGCGGAGGATTTCTCTTCCTTCTGTTTCTCCTTCCACATAAGTTAGGCTTTTAATTGCTGTTGAAAGCGGATAAAAGTGAAGTTCTCTGAGGAGCAGCTGCACATCAATGGGCTGACCAGAGGGAAATCAGCTCTGAAAGAGCCCTCTCTTCTCTGTATGTTTAGCTGATAGAGATCTCTTCTGGGAAAGATTTTAATAGGTTTCTGTGGGATTTGGCACTGCTGGGAGAAGGGGGGACCTGTTGAGTTTGAATGTTACATAATTCAGAGAGAAAGTCGAAATGAGGCTCAGATTCAGATATTGGGGAATGGCATTGATCACAAAGTAAGACTAGTAATTGACCTATTCGCACAGAAAAAAGAAGTTTCTTTATCGCTGAGCATTTTTTTTTTACTTTTAAGTAATTCAATCAGGAATGAAAATGATGAAAGTTATTGTTAAAGCTGCAGCCCAGTTTTTATTGGGTTAAAAATTATCCAAAATAATTTTTTTTAGCAAGTACATAACCAGCCAGTGTTCAAAACTATCTGCTTGCCTTAGCTCGATTCAAAACGGTAAGCTTGTAATAATGTTTTTAATACCAGCGGTACTGCTGGATTTCCGTGGGAAATTCAAGCATGTCTTTGCGTCATTACGTTACATCTGATTCTGTACACATAAAGGAGGAGTCTCGGCTAGTATAAGCTATATTGCGATTGAGGATGTTGGAGGTGGAGATTTATAGCCTTTTCTCACAGCACTTGATATAATTAAACTTATCAATTTGATGGCGGATCCAGAAAGGTTCAAACGACAATCACCTGTGACAACTAGAGATTCACCCGCTGTAAAATGCAAAAGGCTTTGGACTGAGAGTTTGGAAAAAGAGACTGCATCCAGGTCCATGCGAAAACAAGGATAAATATCGGAAGGGCTTTAAATGTAGTCACGCAATGCTGATGTTGAACATTAACAATTTGAGAACAAAATATAATTTGCACGGTTTGACGTGATGTGATAAGCGATTGTTAGATTTAATCAGCGTGATTTACTGCAATGCTTTTTTCAGTTAGTTGGTCAGAAGAACAAAAGTGGATGTTACTTGTTCAGATGAAAATTTCCGGTGAAAATTCGTATGTTGGTCATACTTCCAAAAAGTATAATCTGTGATTCTGAATGCCAGTATTCACACCGGCGCGGTGACTGACAGCCGCACATTCTCCTCAAAACATTGGATTCATCCGTGGCTGTGCCCTGCCGAGGCACAACCCACGTAAAGTTGATAATTCTGCGAATAACTGTAATTGCAGATTTCGAACAGAGATGGCGACAAAGAGGAAAAACTGCGGACTGATTCATTTATTATTAGGGGTGTAACAATATATCGTATCACAATACAAAAATGCAACAATATGTATCGTCGTGGATAAATAAAAATTGCTGTGTGAGAAAAAATTCAAGTCTACAGAGTTTTAGTGTCAGTACTACATTAAACTACTATATATAATGTATAATAATGCAATGGGGGAATATTTTTGGGTCCTGATAATGCCAAATTGTCTTATCTTATGTTACCAGTAAAAAGTGGTCTATACATTATTTTAAATATATCTAGTTAGTGACAGAGTGAAAGCATATTCGTCTAAAATAATTCTGTATTTTCAGCTTCAGAATCATGAATATTTTTATCCTGGTGTCTCCATAGCCCTGTGCATTGTGTTATCAGCACCAAGTCCAAGCCTATTCATTTACACCCACAATGTAATATAAAATTTAGCATTTTAATCAACAGTACATTTTTTGTTAACCTTTTACCATATGTTTTGGAGTAACGCAATAATATCGTATCGTGATATGTATCGAATCGTGACGTGGGTATCGTTGCACCCCTATTTATTATAAACTTTTAATAAATAATTTGGTCATCTTTATGTAATTTGAAACCTGTAAGTTGTATGGACTACTTTATTGTTGCAGTTTTTTTTTCCTTTGAACTGTCTTATGGAAAAGATCTGTGTGACGATTCTTTTTATAAAAATATCTAAAAAAAAATATTTCAAAATTTTATTTCTGTAACATTTTAGTGAGGTGCTCAGTAGACTAAAATAATGTTCTGTTGGTTTAGTTTTCTTTGTCTAGCATTCACAAAACTGCAGTCACTAATGCCAGCTCTAATTTCAGCTCCGCTACTCATTGAGTTTCAAATTCACAGCAGGCAATTAGCAAGATGCCCTACTTGTCATATTAGTTAACCTAAGGCTGTTATTAACGAGCTTCAAAACTCAATGCTTGACAGTCTGCCTTTACTTTAGAGAAATGTGGTTAGACTGGATGCGTCCCTATTTTCCTCAAGAAACGGAAACTTCGTTCTGAATCCTCAACATATTGCCTGCTTCAGTATTCTTTTGAAGATGGAAGGAGCCATTGAAGATAGTATTTATGTACTATCACATGCCTCATGTCTGACGCTGTAACTCATTTTCCACAGAAAACCGACTGTTCCTGCTGTGTGCATTGCTGCTGTGCTCAATATTCCTCTTGAGGATTTAACTGTAGTTTTTTGTAATTTGTAGTCTTTCTGGTCCTGTTGTGCACAAATCATCTGTATAATATTATATTATAAAATATATAGAAATATAACTTTTTCTGCCTAAAATGAAGCTCTGAATATCCTGAAAATAGGTTGAATGTGCCATTTCATGTTGACTTTCTTAAATGAGGCTTTTCAAACAAGAAAAATCTCTTCATTTTTCAGGAAATGCGTTCAGAGAAGAACAGGTTAAGGACCTCAAAGAAGCACTGAGAGGCACTGACCCCGACATTCCTCTTGTGTTCGTCAGCGGCAACCACGACCTTGGCAACACACCCACTCCGGACACCGTGGAGCAGTTCTGCCGTGACTGGGGCGATGATTACTTCAGTTTTCGGGTGGGTGGGGTGTTGTGTTTGGTGTTGAACTCTCAGTTCTTCTTCGACTCATCAGGCTGCCCTGAGTTAATGGAGGCCCATGAGGTCTGGCTGGAGAGCCAGCTGCAGAGAGCCATCCAGAACCCCTACCGCCACGTGCTTGTCTTCCAGCACATTCCGCTCTTCCTCCGTACTCCCGACGAAGAGGATGACTACTTCAACCTGCAGAGGGGAATCAGAGAGCGCTTGATCCAGAGATTCAAACAGGCAGGTGAGAAGGAAGCACTTGAGCCTTACACTTCAAACAAGACAAGTTGCAGGTGTCCGTACCTCATTTCATGAAGTATCGAAGTTTTTTCTTTCTCTGAGGATACCACAGTGTCTCCTACTGGATTTTGTTTAGCCTGTCCCTAAAAATAGGCTAAATAGTAACCAAAATAGTTTTTTCCAACATATTTTAATATATATATTTTTAAACATATATTTTAATTTATTTTTATTTTAGTTTACAGATTTAAACTGACTTAATTTTACAGTTTATTGCAACAGATCACTAAAACGGTTTCTTCATGCTGTCATAAGAACACCAGTAATTATTTTGATTTCCAAATTAGCATTTTTCGTTTTGCTTTCACAAGGCATAAATAGCGGTTTTAGTTACTCATTTCAAGTCAGACTTGAGCAAAAAATGATGCACCTCGTGATGGAGATTATTTCCATCACAACATTTATTTCCATCAAGAGATGCATCATTTTCTGGTCAAGATCTTGTATTGTAAGAGTCCATCACTGTAAAGTCTCCTCCAGCACATCCCAAAGACTTTCAGTGAATTTAAGGTCTGGTTTCAGAGGTGCCAATTCATGTGTGAAAATGATTCTTCATGCTCACTCCCAACCATTCTTTCACAATTTGAGCCTGATGAATCTTGACATTGTCATCCTGGAGTATGGCCATGATGTGTCTTCCTACATGGTTGTTTAAGAAATGAAAAGCTACACACTCCATCAGTTAGGTTTAGAAGAACTGCTGCCAAACATTTAACATGCTAGAAACATAATAATCACTGCAATAATGACTCACCCAATCATAAACTCTTAAGCATTTGCCTATTTAAATCCAAACAGTGACTTATTTGTGTGTGACTTTGATAGGTTTTCATGGTTGAATGTTCAAAAAACATTTTTCACACATTTTACATTGTTGCAGCACCTCTCTTTCCAGTCTGTCAGTAATGCTCTGTTTAGTTCCGGTCTCTATGAAGCCCCTTCTTCCGAAAAGCATAATGTGCTCTGATTGGTTGGCTGGACCAGTGTTTTGTGATTGGACAACAACTTCAAGCCAGTTTTGTAAATGTCACGCCCTTTACTATAACCCTGAGTTTTAACACACTTCTAACGCAACTCATCCAGGCCTCACCCCTTTTTTTGTGTATCCCTTGGCATGGAATAACTTAAATGAGGAATATCGTGACATGTTCATTCATGAAAGAAAACTCAAGACTACAACCGAGGCATTTCATGGGGTTCAGAAACATTATTGATATAGAGAATAATTCCATTTGGAGTGACTTTGTCCATTGTTACTTTGCAGACATTTTCATGCTCAAACAGCAATAATACTCACTAAAGAAAGTTGGAAAATGTAAAAAAGCATAATGAGTCCTTTTTAACTAGTCTACTTAACACATCAGTGTGTAAAGTATAGTATATTTTTTATTAGACATTTAAGATATGTTTGTAGAATAGCCTGCACAATGAAATAAATGAAACTATGGTTTTCGGCCTCTGTGATGCCAACCAACTGCCACACAACTATTAAAAAGAAGCCAAAAAGATAAGGAATTAAGTAAACTGGATTAAGGAGGATGGGTTAATAAATATTAAAGATAAGCCAATGAATGCTCATTGGTTGAGCGAAGTTGTAAACAAGTGGTGAGACTGGATAGGCTTTGAATGAGAGGGTTAGATGTTCTGCAGACATCTCGGCTTTGTTGTCTCCACCAAAAGCATCTGTAACTCCATAACTTGAGTGATTTTTGCAAAGAGGGGAAGACTTTTTCCACGACAATAGTAGCCATACGGACAAAAAAGATCATTCAGTTATTTATTTTTTTCATAGAAAAGTGAAACTTTTCGTATTCAACAAAACAATGAAAACTAAAAACATATGCAGTTATCATTGATTTTTATTCAATATAATTTTATTTAATTTTTTTAAACTTTAAAAATGAAAAAAAAAAAACATATTCCAGAAAAATCCAGAAAATGTACTCTTTTTTTTTTTTTTTTTTACAACTGTTAATATTGCAGGTTTCGGTTTTCTCATTTGTAACATCTGTTAAATTAATTTATTAGAATGAAGTTATTTTAGATTTCTCAACTTAAAAAAAAAATAAGGGCAGAACAATTTATTTTTTATTTTATTTTTTTGGTAAATACAAACGAGTTGTACAAGACCATGAAACTATCAGTGCAAGAATGCTGCAGTAAATGGCACATTTATGGCCACATGCTGGAATAATGCTTTTGTCTTGCCCGTGGCTCTTTAATTATGCTGTGAGTGCCCTGGAGTGCTTTTCCAGGATGTATAATAAAAGCTTTACAGACAAGAAATATGCAAGTTGTCCATATACATTTTGGGATTCTATTATGAGAATGGACTCTATATAAGAGGCATATTGTGCGTAAGTTAATTATTGATTTTAGAACTCCGCGAATGTTGGATCAGAGCAGATGCTGTTTTATTTAACAGCTGTTGAAATGCACAGCATACTCAATACTCTATTCTCATGTTGATATCTAATGAGCATTTTTGGGGTTGCAGTCCTTTTGCTTGAATAAAGATTTTCACTATTAACAAGCAACTCAATAGTTTAGCCTTAAGCATTAAATCTGATTGCTATTCAAATTTGAAATTCCTACACAAGGATGTTATCATGTAGCTTCAAGAAAAGAGAAATGGCAGTGTTATTGTTACAGATATCAAATGATATGCTCCTCTAAATGTGTCAGATTGATTTACTTTCAGTTATACATAGTAGTTCTGGCACCACAAACTATTAAACAAGCTGTGCTTGTAGGAAAAGTAACAAGTAAATCCACTGGGTTGTGGTTTTATGTTAGCTATGAAGGGGAAAAAACACACATCTTCCTTTGTTCCAAAGGTTAGTGTTCAAAAGAAACAATATATATTGATTGTTGTATGGCCAGAGAGATGCATCATGGTCCAATGATATTGAAAATCGATTTAAAAAAAACGGGCAAAACAGGAAGATTCAATCTCTCTAGTCATGAAAAATGTGACATCTTTAATATTAGATTTGAACTTTTATCTCTCATCTTATACAAGCTGTGTTAATGGAAATGGAGTAGTGTGTAATGTAAATAAGTCAGGCACTGCTGTGGGCGGCAGAGAGGGGCTTGATCGGAGGACTGACACATCCACTCCACGGCTTCCTTCGAAACGCCACTTTTATTATTTCTATAATTGTTTCTATGATCAAAACATGAAGAATGCTAAAATGAAATAAAATAAAAAATGTTTGAAAAAAATAAGCCAATCCTCCTGGATATCAGAGATCACTGTCAGAGGATAACACAGCCACTGCCCACAAACTCGTTTTCATGGGCTCCTTGAGCTCGTAGATTTAATATCATGCTGCAAATGATATTTTTATGATTTAAACCACATTTTCTAAAAGGCAGCAAGGCTGTGAGAAGATGATCCTTTTTTTGAGACATCTGCCTTGGGGAAAAACATGCTGATCACTCCAGATGTCTGTTAGCTTTGAGGTTTGTACAGTGGGTGGCATTTGAAATGAATACATATAATACACAGTTCCTGATATCCTGAGCTGTTTACAGACCTATATTCCTCTGCTGTACTGATACTCTAATGCCCTGTAATGTCTGTCTGTCAGGTTCTCTGTGCTTTGTGATTAGTTTTGTGGTAATAATGTATTATTTTGTTGGTGATCTTGTTTTCTGTAGATCATGGAACATGAGCATAGAGTCTAGATGGTAGATCTCAATAACTTTCTTATTAACTTAAAAAGTTTATCGATTTTTCTTTTTCTTTGTGAGTTGACAATTTAACAATTTGCACTGTGATGTCACAATTCATTCTAGTAAGAATAAGATCCAATTATAAGCCATTATGCGCATGTTTTATTGAATATCAGGCCATTCATTGAAATCTCATAAGTTCTATTGGATGTTCTCTTAGTGAAAGGTCAATTAAAATGCCCTTAACCTCTTGCGTGTTCTTTTATTCAATATTTTGACTTATTTGTGTATCTTTAGTGTAAGGAGATGTTTAGAGTAAAGAACTCATCTGTTTAACACATTTGTTTGTTACAATGAGTAAATGCATTCCACACATTATTACCTTTAAATCAGGCACAGAAAAAGACCCAATAAGGTATGTATTTCTTTGGTTTTACTTTGAGATCCATTCTAATGGCATCTTAAGGCTATAATCCGAGCACAGAAGTTTGAGCTAGTATTAAGTGAGGTTTTTTACAGTATGTTTGTGCACTTGGTAAACACCCTTGATTGAATCTAAAATGGTACTCTTGACAAGCGCACTTAAACGCACAAGCAGAAAGAAAGCTTGTGCTATCTTAAAAGGCAACTTGTGTTTATGAGGCACCTATTATAATGCAAACCATTTCATTTTAAATTACCATTCAACGTTTCTCACTGCCAGTGTGCTATCTTGTAGTGTGTTAATTAGCAGTGATAAGCCAAGTGTTTCCTCTGCTATTTCAGCTGTCTTAAGGCTCTCATTCAGCACACGCCAGTAGAAATGAGCATGGGAGTTGGTTAATCAACTGAAAGCTTGTCACCTGCTGAGAACTGTAGGTTAGCTGGCAAGCATGTTGTTTTTAGGTAGACAATGAAGAATTGTCTGTTTTGTGGAGGTTAAAGTGTGATGGAGTACCCATTGTTATCAGATATCCTTTAGGAAAGGCTTGGCTGTGTTTTTGTGTATCTCCAATGTCTTGCATCATTATAAGGAGTGTTTCAAGGGCATAGAAATATACTGTAACTCGCCCCGTTTGGCAATATCTATTTGGATATTATCTGTTTGCCGTTTCTTCAACTCTAATGGCTTTGATTTGTATCTCATTTTGCACTCATATATAGTTTCTGGCTCGAATAAAATTTTTTTCCCAAAATTGTAATGTATTTTCTATAACACTTCTGATTCAAACCTCAATAAAATAATAACAATAACAATAATATTTTACGATGCGCCGATAATTAAGT